GCTTCAGCTCCAGTATTTTCTAGAGCACATGATGAAATTTATGTCTAGGCTGATTTAAAACAGGATTTCCCTTTTTTAAACCTCCTGCACATGTACCCACTGGCCCTTTTGCCCTCCTTGTCAAAGGGTATGATGTCACTACAAAGTGAATATTTTCAGACATAAATTTAATTTCATCCAGATGTGGCAGATTTTTTTTTCACTTAGATATGTAGTATGAAGTCATTAATAAAATATAATCGGTTTAAATAACAAAATTATCTTGTTTTTCATCAGTTGGCATAATTTTTAATAATTGAAAGGACCCTGTTTTATCACCATAGATACAGCATTAGGTGGTAGGAACTATCCTGGTTTTATTTATTCTTTTTTTTTTTGGTAAACATATTTTTATTTATGGGAAAGCACAAATAATGAGCTTTTATTTGTGACAGAATTTTCATTCTCACGAAGAGATGTACCTTTAGCTTTTTGTAGAATCATGACCTTCAACTTACTTCTGCATAGCTAATCCTCCAGATTGGTGCTAAACTGTTTTTTTAGGTTATTTTTTTGTGGTTTTCAACTGCTGCATGCTGGCAAGAATACTGAAAAGAGGAAGTTCCTACTCACCCAAAAAAGAATGGGTTGCATTTGCCCTCATAAAACCACGTGCAGTTTTTACACTGAGAGTTTTACACTTGATTAAATCAACATTAAAAGATAGCCAGCTGCTGCGTGTAGCCGTAGACAGAGGTGCTGCTTGAAAAGGGAACTTGAGCTTGAGGCTTTAAGCCTAGGACTCAACGGGCAGCGTACAAAGTTTGTAGTAACAGTTTGAGAAATGTAACCTTCCTAAGGCGACCCCACCTGAATCCACGCTGTCCCTTTGCAAGTGCATGATTCTGTTATAGAGAAAAAACACGTAAGAAAAAATAAAGAGGAGTTATCCTTCTGAGGGTGAACAGAGACAGGAAAAAATGGTGGTGAGTGATGATAACAACTGCTAATGCTAATGCTAGATAACTCAGTGCTGCTACTCTAACCTGAAATGTGGGGGAGGAAACTTGAATAATGTAACTTCTGCTGGCTTAGCTATTTAGCTAGCAGAGCGTAGTCATGACACCAGCAGCAGACTTGTTAGAGTAAACTGAGGGCAGGCCCTGTGAACATTTATCTAGCGTCCACACTAACTGTAGCATTGCCATTGACCATAGAGCGTATAAAGCATGCTTGTTGCTAGCGGTCTGGACAAACGAAGCCAATGCTGAAGTGTGTTTAACCTGCACTTTAACAGAAGGCGGTCAGATTGCGGTAGCTGTGGAGACACACCTCAAGACTTCAGAAACCAACGAATGACGTCCAACCTTTATATTGTTCCTGGTTGTGGCTTTATGATAAAAATAAACAGTATAAAATGTGGGTTTTTGTCACCTATTAGCTTTATTTAGCCCTTTTTTAAAGTATGAGAGTTAGTTCTTCAGCTGTCACCATGCTGCCTTTTTGGAACCAGGAGTTGCCATATTTGGCAAAAAGGGTTGCATGCTGTTTTCCCAGCTAACATTAGAAAGCTAGCTTAACAAGCTGCTGCTACAAACTGTATGTCTGAAATGCACAGACTCAGTTAAACAATACTCAGTCCTTATACTGATAAATAACTGACTAATAAAACACTAGAATAAAACTGAAGTGCAAACTTTTTGCATTTTCTGTACCACACAGGGAGCCGTAATATTGGTCAGATTACTCAGCTGAAAAGCTCCAAAAAAACACCAAGAGCACAAATCAGTTCATTCCCTGAACGGATGGTTGGAGTAAACTAAGTCTGCACTTCGTTAATGCTCGAAAACCCCTCCAATATACCTGAATTAAAACAATTCTGCACAGAAGAGTGGGACAACAGTCCTCCACAGTCATGTGAAAGACTGGGTGCCAGTGATCACAAAAGTTTTATTCTTTTAAATTAAATCATGATTTAAAAACTGCATTTTGTATTTCTTCGTCTTTATCTTTGTCTAATATAAAAATGTCTTTAATGATCTGAAACATGTAAGTGTGACAAATATGCAAAAAAAGAAAACCTCAAGATGAGGAAAAATAGTTTTGCACAGCACTGTGTGTGGCATGTTCTTTCATAAAGAATAAATTATGTTTGTTTATATGAGTAAATAAGAGCATGGGTAATTAAACCAGCCTTAGAGCTCATTTATGGAACTAACAGCTAGATTTCTGTAACTAATGGGCTTCATATTTCTCTACTTTGTCGTAAACAGTCTAATTTAACAAAAAGTAATCTGGGTTTTTTTTTCATATATATATATAAAAAGAAAAGAAGTGATTTTTTGGGGCCCTGCAGATGTGAACGCTGCGCTCTGATAACTCACAGGACGAACTGTTACAGTGCATATGTTCATTCATGACTGCATCTCTGCATCTCGGTCGCATCAGACTGTTTTACCTTGACAGCTAGAAGTGCACGAGCAGCGATTGATCGAGGCGGCGAGGATTCCTGCCAAGAAAAAAAAAAAGGCGAGGGGAGCTGAACACGAACAGGAGGCTGATGAAATGAAATGATGAAACAGATGAGGTTTAAATCAGAATATTTTTATGCTGGCGCTCGGCGGGAATTCCTTACTTCAACTTCCCAGAGTGCATTGCTGTGTGGCCTTTTCAATAATGTAAAGGGGGGACAGACAAGAGATAAAATGAGAGAGGAAACGATTTCCTGGCACTGTGGGAGCCCCCTCTGTGACATTTACCTCTAGAGGCACCCTCAATGTGTGTGTGTGTGTGTGTGTGTGTGTGTGTGTGTGTGTGTGTGTGTGTGTGTGATGGCCCCGTGCCACACTAATGATGCCCCCCTCTGCCACGCACAGTCGAAGCACAAAACTCTCCCGCCAGCGATGCCACACATGTCCTTTAGAGTCACACTGGAAGGAAAGAAGGAAGGAAGAAGGAGGTAATAGCCAAGATGGAGCGTGGAGGGGTTGAAAAGGAATTGTGCGAACAATATTTCCATCCACAGATGGAGCTGAGGAGGAGTACAATAGAAGGGCAACAAATAAAAGGAAGAGAAAAGGTTAGCGGCGAGAGGAGGCCACTTTTGTCAGCGAATGGCAGAGAAGGAGCAAAGGGGGGATCGCCTCGTGCGATCTATCAGCTCCACCTGTTACTATTTCATACTTCATTAAGCGTCTCTCCTATTTGAAGCGGCGGGTGGTGTTCTCCGTCTTCGCAGGGTGTCCCCTACCCCCCACCTGGACACATGGCATCTCATTACCTCTCTGCTCCAGCTCAGGGCCTGCAGAATGTCACACAGCTGGAGTACGAGCTCTGAAGATAGATGAAACAGAAAAACTCTCTGAATGTCTTTAAAAAGACGGAGCCTACTGAGAATGATGTGTTTGCCTGGCATTATTATCCTGTTGCAAGGTCCACCTTCGGTTCAGCGGAAGCACTCGGACAGATGGCGTCACGTACGCTCCGAGCGCTCTTTGATGTGCACAATTTATAGAAGAATTGTTGACCGCAAGCCGAACGATTTCTGAGGCAAACTTTCCCACCTCACGATCGGTGTCTGATTCTTGTGCTGAAAGGCTGTCTTTGATTAGTTCATCCCATTGATCCAATAACCAGATCGCCTCTGCTACATCAAATACAGGCGTTTCTTTCTGATTGCAGATGCATGCACTTTGACACCAAATCTAACAGTTATCTGCAGATCTTCTGTCGGGGGTTTTAGACACTTTGTTTTTCTCACGCTGAATTTCCTGTGGTGGCCAGTGCTGTTTGAAATTTGCACCGCTTTTAGACGGTGAGTCTCAGAGTGACATTATTTGGTTCAACTGTCAGACTCGTCCACAACCACAACCAGTGGCAAAATGTAGTGACGGTGTAGGCGTAGGGCGGCTGCAGCTTCGATGGTAAAGCGGGTCATCTACCAAATGGAAAGTCCCCGGATCCTCCTGTCCATGTGTCAAAGCATCTTTGGCCAAGATACTGAACACTGTGTTGCCTCAGATGCATCCATCGGAGACTAAGTGTATGAATGTTAGAAGTGCTTAGGTATAGATAAGATCAATGTGTGTGTGACTGGGTGAATAAGACTTTATTTTATATTTTGTATTAGTAGAAAATAGTAGTGAAAATAGAGTAGAAAGGTGCTATATACACCTAATATAAACAGTCCTGAGAACAAGGAATGGACTCCACTCGACCTGTGCTAGCGTGCTGTGGTATCTGTACCGAGATGTTAGCAACAGATCCTTTAAATCCTCTCAGCTGCAAGGTGGAGCCTCCATTGATCAGATTTGTTTGTCCAGAACGACCAAAATAGACAGTCCTTTAAACAAGATGTTAGTTAACCTAATATTTGCTTATGAAAAGTTCCTTAAAAATGATTTTAAAACTAGAACAGTCAAGGCGTAGATCCCTGGGTGGCTCGGTTGGGTACAATCACCTAAAACATGAAAGATCTGTGCTTTGAGACTGTGAGAGAATCTCTGGGAGGTTTGCATCAGGAAGGACATCCAGCTTAAAAAGGATCTGTGAAAATCAAATACATTGATCTACCTCCACAACGACTAAAAGTTATAAAGTTAGCATCTTCTCCAGCTAATCATTCAGTGTGTACTTCAGGATAAAGCTGGTTACTCCTGGTTTTAGTAGCATGATCTGCAAATTTAGCCCAGTCTGTTTTTACCTTTGAAGCTGCCTGGAGCCACACTGTCTGCAGTAACTGCGCTGCAAACTTCATGCAGTCGCTGAAGAATGTGCTGGGTGTGGTAGCATTAGCTTAAATCCTTAGCATCCAGGACAAAAAAGGCTTTAAGTGCAGAGGCAGACTTTACCTGTGCAACTAAGCACACCGCATACGATGTACTTACTCCCAAACCCCCAAACCAAGACGGCAGGAATTTAAAAGCCTAACAGGCGAGCTGCGGCTTGCTTACAAACAGCTGCCATTCAAGCGGTGAGATTTAAGGAGCAGGTACTTCCACGTGAATGTGAAACTCCACTGAATTGCAAAGTAGAAAAGCTGCTGAATGAATGGATGATTTCTCAATTCCTCAAATTCCTTAATTTAAGAAAGTACACACTATGAAAGGATTGGTTTTAATATCACAAATTCAATGGACACAAATTCATAACGCTGTCCTGAATTCATCCAACTAATACTGCAAACAGAAATATATTTTAGTATCCTCATAACAAAGAAAACAACTTTTACAACTCAGTCATTATCTGACTCGGTCACGTCTCAAAGATGACTCGTGTCAGGAGCAGATGAAAGGAGGTCACAGCTCTGTGTCGTTGTTTGTTTACGCAGAGGGGAGAGGCGGCTGACTGGTCCGCTAAATCACCTCCCTGCCAGCGGTGGTGACAAACTACCAAATGAAGTGAGAAAGTGAAGGCTCTGTCACAGATTAGGGCTGCCAAGAGTTTAAAAAGAAGACTGAGAAAACCTGGAGACGGACAGAAAACCAGCGACGAGTCTAGCTGATAAGAAAAATAATCCGGACGCCACAGATGTGCTCTGTGCTCATCTGCATTCAAACTTTGCAGCTTTCACTGCTTTATAAACTGCATTGTGAGGTAAGACTGTGAGTCATAAATCAATATAACAACACACATATAAATGCTCCAAACCTTAGAGGTCTGGACCCTGCAAGGAGTCACAACAGTAATATCACAGCTGGGTTAAAACATTTGCTCATCTGTACAGCAGTTCATTTTTTAAAATCTCCCCAGTTTTTCACAGTTTTCAGAGCTAAATGATACTATAATACCATAATAATGGTCTGAAATTAGACTTTACATCTAAGACAACTACCAAAACAAAAACAAAAGGTGGGGTTGCAAGCCCAGAGAAGAGCGCTGACTCTCCTTGTGCGATGCTGACCTCGTGTGGATCACACGCAGCACTGCGACCAAGTGGCTTGGCTCATATTAAAAGCAGCACTTAAAAGGCAGTGTGAGCGCTCCTTTCTGGGCCTCCTTAATTCTGTGACTCCTGCCTGGTAGCTGCAGCCTGCCTCAGCAGCAGTTCTCTAGCCAGATCCGGCCTGCCGATCTTGGCCAAGTAGCCAGCGAGCAGAGAGACCTTGGGTTGGTTCGGGATGGCGGGCAGCCCTCTCCTCCACATAGCCAGGATGGTGAAGGCACGGGAAGAGAGGCCGCCGCTCCCGGCTCGGGTCGTCACCAGCTGAGCGGTGCTGCGGCAGAGTCGCAGGGAGAGCGCCAGCAGGGCCGTTTCCTCCTCTGAGAGCTCCTCGGACAGCCAGAGAAGAAGAGAGTCTGAGAGGGAACCTGGTTGGATGGGCAGGTGATGGATAAATGATGCATTTTTTAGTATCTGGAGCTGAGACAGCATTAAAGAGTGTGGCAAAGAGACAATGAATGGATCGTGGAGCAAGCAAGCAGAATTTCACCCCACCTGTGTCCTCACAGAACTTCACCTGGGCTGTAATGGGCCGAGTAAGGTTTCTCACTTTCTAAAATGACATAAAACAGTAGCATTCTTTTATTTGAGTCTTTAACATGAAGCATAATGTTTCATTTTTGGGGGGTGAGGGGGTGAAGTCAGACCTTTACCTTGGGTAAAGTCAGAGACAGCTTACAGACGGGATCTCCCAGAAGCTTCGTGTCCTTCAGGACAGCTTTGTCATCCCGCCACTCCAGCTGACCTCTGGTGACCTTATAAAATATGGCCGTGCCCTTGTAGTGAGGAGAGCTGTAGTTTCCAAATAGGTCCACCTCAGTCAGATGCACTAAGAGGTGATTCTTCCTCTGGCTGTGGAAGGTGATGCGCTCATGCGTGGCTTCATTTTTGTTGGTTTGAGCAGCGGCTGCAGAAAAATAAATATGCACACATTTAAAAAGAGGCCTGATGCAATTATATGAAACTGCTTTACTAACTGAATTTGATGCTAACTGAATTTTCTAGGTTATGTTTGTAACATTTTCCTGTATTAAACTTGTTTACTGCCAGTTTGTGAACAGAGGGTAAAGTCACTTAAAACTTAGACCTTAGGGCTGACTTGTTGGACTCTGAAGTGCCTCTCCTTTGTTCCCTGACACATCTAGATAACAAGCAACTTCAACTCAGGCTAGCTTAGAAAAGGACCAAGCGGCCAACAAATGAGCTCCCAGTGCAACTCAGACTTCAAAACAAACCTCACATAAAAATAGAAACATATCTGAGTTCAGATGGGTTCAGATGATATTTTAAAAGCAACAGCGTTACCTTAGCTTGGGTCCTCACTATTTGCTATGTTAGGTAGCAAGTGATTTGTGTGAGTAGGTAAGCTAATGCTAGCCAACATTAGCCAGAAGAAAGACAGTTTTATCAAGCAAAGCCAAGGAGCAAGTTAGGGCTGTGGTGTATAAAGACAGTATAATAGATGGTCTTAAAAGTGAAGTTCATTAAACTGCTGCTCCTGCTTTCAAAAGGATTCTCCGTGCTGTAGAAGTCTATCCCTCGGACTTGACTTCAGTCAGGTTATTTTACGTGATACTTACTAACAATGATTCCATTTTGCAAATTTTGGTTAAAATGGAGAGAAGTTTATGGGAAAATGGCCTTTCAGCTCCACTGTACTATGACCTCATTAAACACTTTAATGAGACCATGGCCTCAGTAACTAGTTTCAGGTGTTATTGAACAGAACATGATTTTAATTTTATAAAGTGAACCAAACTTTTCCTTTGGGGTTGTGTCAAGAAGGGCATCTGGCATAAACCTGCCAAATCAAACGTGGAGATGTTTGTGGCGACCCCCTCGTAGCATGACAGCAGCCAAAAGTAGATTTAAATATTCAATTTTATTCAATTTAATTCAAATTTATTTATATAGTGCCAAATCACAACAACAGTTGCCTCAAGGTGCTTTACATTGTAAGGTAGACCCTACAATAATACATACAGATAGAAACCCAACAATCATATCACCCCCTATGAGTAACCACTTTGGCGACAGTGGGAAGGAAAAACTTCCTTTTAACAGGAAGAAACCTCCTACAGAGCCAGACTCAGGGAGGGGCGGGGCCATCTGTAGCAATCGGTTGGGATGAGAGAAAAAAGACAGGCTAAAAGAAGTGCTGTGGAAGAGAGACAGAGTTTAATAATAAGTGATGATTCCATGCATAGTGAGTGAAAAAATGACCGAAGAAGAAATACTCAATGCATCATGGGAATTAAAAGCTAGGACGGAGTAGGGTATACTGGGGCGGGCCTATATCATGATTGACATTTACAAGATTCTACAGTATGAGCATGTAGCGTCGATAAGATCCACCTTTTGCTTGTCTCATCCAGTTTTAAAATATCAAATACACACAGCAAGTCCATCTTTTGTATACAGTCTACCATATATATAGATATACATTTTAACCATAGATTTTTAAAATGTTTTAAAGCCAGTAAGTAAACATGTGTTTAACATCGAGTAATCCATCTATCTCGTCCAGTTTCAACACACCAAGACGGCGTAAACACTCATCTGGAGGCTTCTAAACAGGCAGTATCCCCATCTTTTGTACTGTCTGCTGTATTGTACCGTGGGAAACAAAAGAGGAAACATAAGAGTGTTGTACTGTTGAAGCATTCAGCTGGCTGTACAAACATATCATTCATCCACTTTATTATGTGGTTACTGTCTTACGTGGTGACCAGGGGATGGAGGCTAAACCGGTTTAGACCTGGTGCTGCAGCAACTGTTTCACATTTCCCAGTATATCTTTCTTTTTTACTGCACTAGATGTGCAGTGCTCCAGCTAACCACGCAATAACAATAGCGTACAAGGATTTGCACTTTTAAATCGAGGCCTTTTTCAGTGTCACGCGCGTCCAGCCAAAGTAAACAGGCCTCTTTTAATAAGAACAATGACAACACAAGAGCGAGCAGCTGCGTTTGAGGCTCACGCAGCTAAAAGTTGAACATCGGGATTATTTTTCTAACAAATAAACAAAAAAAAACAAACAAACAAGTTAAGCATGTAGAATGTTTAGAGTGTTCACTATGATAGATAAAGCTGATTATTTTTTCAGATTCACTGATAGAAACCATTGAATTAATTAATGAATTAAAATAAATGATGACCCAATCCTTGATGAAAAGCCAACATTAGACCCGTGAGAAGCATAAATGTATAAAAAGATGAAGATTCTCTTGTGTTTCTTTTGTCAGCTTATAATTATTTTCCTTAAAGCACGTATGAAGCTTCTGTAGGAGAAGCCAGTGAGCCAGCTTCACACTTTACCTGTGCAGGTGATGTTGCCGGTGAAACGCAGGAGAAGCTGATCTGCCTCACGCATCGAGATCTCCGAGGAGGTCTCCACCGGGTCGCTGTAGCCCTGAGCTCGCAGCCTGTGCAGCTCCCAGCTGAGGTCTCTGCCGGGCACAACGGCCACCAGGAGGGCGCGAGGCTCGTCTCGGCTTCGCAGGAGGATGACGGTGACGGCGTGGCAGCAGACCGACTCCTCCAGCTCCTCGACCAGGCAGGCGAGGTGACAAGGGCGCAGCGGGGAGAGGAGACGAAGCACGAGCAGTCTGAGCGGAGAAGCAGACGGAGGACAAGTTAAGGAGTCTAGCTCTGGGGAAAGATTAGATTGCCGCTGAACAGGGAAAAGACTTTGTTATCGCAGGCGGGAATACAGATGTAATAGACTTAAGACAGAATGGAGAATTCATGAAAACCTACTGCACACATTTTTTTTCTCCCCTGAAGAAGCTGTTTTAGATAAGAAAGAAGAGAATTATAACTCGGGATGGAAATGAGAATCCAACGTTATCACAGCTGGGCCTATTCTTTTAAACAGGTGACTAGAGTAAGACTTAATTTTCTTCTTCTTTATAATGTCTTTAGGGGTTTCTTAACACTTTAGTCTTGCCATGCTGTTCATGTGCATATGCTCTGACACGTTAAAGCCTGGAATCTAAAGCATGTAGCTGCACCCACCCCCCCTTTATCCATGCGGCCTTGCTTTAAGCCCCTTATGTAAAGTAAAAGCTTTCTGTAAGTCTGGTTTGTTGTAGCGTAGTGTAGCATTTATCTTTTGTTTTTATTTTTTTTTAATGCTGGCACTTAAGACATGGACGTGATGTTGAGAATACATGAAAGGCACCGGTGAGGTACAGCAGAGCCGTGAGTGAGGAAATAATTTGTTTTCTCCTGTTTGAAGCAAAGGAAATGTTAATCGCTCTGGAAGTTAGTGCGACATAACCTCACTAAAACAAATTAACTCGAGGATTGTTGCTTACGTTCGCTGCCGTGTGAGTAAAGCGAAATAAAGAAACATCTGGGTTGTTGAAAAAGAGAAAACATCTGGGAGAAAACGTCTTGTTGATGACAGAGGTCAGCGGGCAAGAACAAGACTGCTTTGAGTTGACAGGAAGGCAACAGTAACATCAAATAACCACCCATTACAACCAAGGTGTGCAGAAGGGCATCTCTGAATGTGCTGCACAAAAATGCCATTATATAATATAAATGTATTTCTGCTGCAGGGGTCCCACAGCTGCAAAGTTTTTCCTGCACAGCTGCACAATTTAAGCCTCATCCTGTGTCTCTTACTGTCACTGTGTGGTCAGGGGGACTGTTTTCTACGCCATCTACATGGCTGGTGGACTCCTGATTGCAGCCACTGTTGACTTGGCTGTGAGGACAGCTCATAACCCCGACAACCTGCTGCGCCTGTCACACACTCTCATCAACCTCGTAGGCAACAGGTGTCAAAAATATGTTGTAAGAAAGTCCTTTAAGTCCAGTTCTAATAAGAATCTGCATGCATAGCTACTCTAGTAGAGTCCAAGAGAGCTTTAAACACCACTGATCCCATTTTTAGTTAAATGTACTGCCAAATCAAACAGACTTTTACTCTATTCTAATTATGTGCTCCTTCATATCTTGCAGGTTAAGTCTTTGGTAAAACAAAAACTGAAACATCTGCACCTCACTGAGAGGTTCGGGAAAAACTGTTCCTCAGTTTGTGCTGCTTACATATACATAAATGGGACAAATGTACATGTTTTTTAATAGACTTCCACATGTTTCCAGTCTCAGCAGTCTCCTTGACGTGACAAGACTGAGCGAAATTGACTATTTTAAGGTTTTACAGGGAGATCTCGGTTCCCCTGACAATCCAACAAACCTGGAGTCAAAGCCTGCCAACTGGATCTAAAAAAAAAGGTACAAAACGACATGTTTCATGTTTTAGATTTCCTTAAAGACGGCACTGCCTTATTTCTTTTTGCAGTCATTTTCAAATGTCATTTGTTTTGTTCACAGTTTAATATCCCACATTTGGACGTGTCTATGCTTTTGACTAATACGAAAAGTTTCACTTCAGGTAGCTCTAGCGTGTGAACTTTTGCTCTTCTGCATTCAGGTGCAGGGTTTATTACATCTTCCTGTGTTGTTCGAAGCGCCAGCGAATTCTGAAACTGCACATTAGAGCCAACGACATCAGGCTGAAAGCGTTCAGGCCTTCGAATAAACTACAGTGGCTTGTTGAGTTTGGCAGAAAGGCACATGCAAGGGGAGATATAGTAAGAAATGATCACCGTTTGCTTGAAATCTTGTTGGAGAATGCTGTTAGGAGCCTGCTTTTGAACACAGTATTATCTTTTTCAGGTATTTATTTTGCTGGATGGACAAACAGGACAAATCGGCCTTGGCTTTGAAAGAAACGATGCTGCAAATGAGCGCCGCCCGACAAGTTTTGCTCTGTGGGTATCTGCTCTGTCCGTGGCTCTGCTTTGGATGCTCCTGCCTCACATTGCTCTTTGTGCAGTGATGTGGTTCGGCTGGAGAGTACAACAACACATCAGCTGAGTCAGCCGCTGTCACAGAGATGCTAATCTACCGTAACTCTTAACGAATAGGCTCAAACTTCTTCGTGCAACCTCAAATCGTTGCTTATCCCTCCAACATGACCGAAAACCATCTTACATTTGGTTTTACCTCCACACAGGTGGCTTCAGAGCTTAAAGTGCATTTCTAATAATTACCAGCACACTGTCTCCTCTCTGCTTCATATCAAATAATAATCACTGCTTATTCTGCAGATCCCATTTATCATTTTATTGTTCCCAACAACTCAAACACCTCTCTACTGGCTTAAAAAAAACCCAATATGTATATATATTAAACGTGTGCAATGTAGACTGTACACAGAAGATGGACAATGGTTGATGTCATGACCACTGAAACTGCACACTCATTGGCTACTGACTTGCCAATCACAAATCATCAGCCAATGAGCCTATTCTAGATAATCCTCCTTTCTGACACTAAATAACTCAAACACAACAGAATTGACGTTTTAGTCAAAACCAGTGGCTGATCTCATAAACTCAACAGGAAAATGTGGACATGGGTACAGACAGGAAGCTCACAGACTTGTGGTTTTTCATTTGACATCATGTGAACATTGTTCAGCAGCTGTCTGCCAAAACCTCAATAGGACTGGAAGCCCTTATGCAGTCAGCGGCGTCATGCCTTGGTGCCCATTAAAGCCAGTTCAGAGTTAAGACACTCACTCATTGGCTTTATTTTCCAGTCCCAGGAGGTGCATCCATCTGTTTTATGTATAGTCGATGGCAGACATGTTTTTTATTTACCTCCTTGCTGTCCTGCACTACAATTTGTTGTCTTTTTAAATAAAGTTAAACTGCCTATTTCCATTTGCAGGTGTGATTATTGTAAGAGGAGAAAACGTGGTGGTACAAACCTGTCAAAGTTCTCCATCAGGTCAAAGGACACCAGTCCCTTCTGCAGGCTCCTGACGGTGACTTTATCCATGACACTCCACTGCTTGTCCCTTGAGCCCAGAACAACCAGCGACTCATTGGACATTTCCTTGGATTTCACAGAGGTGTCCATGAATCTGGCATAGAAACAAAACCTTTTAAGATCCCTATTTATATGATGCTGTGACACATATATAATATATTTTAGTTCAAGGACATCTGTGTCACCTCAGTCTGTGGGAAGGTGAATGATCCCATGGGGGAGAATCCCTGACAGGTTGACTTTGTTGGTCTTGTTGGTTCTCTGTTTGTCCCCTTGTTGCTTTCTTTTTTGCAGGATTTGGGGGACATGGAAGTGTGACTGTGAGCGGTCTTCTCAGGGGCCTCGAGGTCGGGTGGGTGAGGTAGAGCAGCGGGCTGGTAGACACCACCGAATGATAGGCGTAATTTCTGGACTTGACAGAAGCCAGGAGCACGGCGTCTAGTGGCTGGATCTGAAGCAAACAAGGAAACAGCTGTTCTGCTTGATTTAGGCAGCAGTTTAGACAAAAGCCGTTTGATATGAGAATTTGTCTATTTTTTCTGTTGTTCTATCAAAAGAGAGCTGTGCAGAGAGGGAGGTGGTGGATTTGACGTAAGATCAAGGAACAAACTGCTCGTACACCAGTGTTTGGTCTCAGGAGTCAATTGAGAAATCGGCCACAGCTGTTTGTGCCTCACAGCAAACATCTGTGAAACCTGCAAATCAGAAGCAAGCTTTCTGTTACTTCATCATTTCTCCTCTCTATTTTCATCCGAGTTTTGGAATTATTTCAAAGGCTTCGTCCCAAGGAGCCCTTCCTATCTCTCAGTGCCAACCAGACCTCACTTCTGCAACTCTTTTCTTTACTTCTACTGAAAGTAAAGTAGGAGAAAAAGGGGTAATGATCAGGGTATTGTCATACCGTGGTTTGCGCTATTACAGGTGCAGTAAAGGATCCTGGGAGGTAGTTCAGACAAATTCGGGGGTCCATGGGGAGTTTTAGTGACAACCCCTTCCTGGGAATGGTGTAGTTTTCTAGTTTTAAACAGGAAACCACTGCAAAAAGACCCACAGAGTACACCTTCACCTCTGCAAATGAGCCCTAACAAAGAGAGAAAGAAACCACGGCAAAACATTTGAACAATCTTTCACCAATGAATACGTTTCTGGAAAAAAAAACTACTCAGTGTTTCTATGTTTTTTAGGTTAAGAATAAGTACAATTACAGGAGTTGCAATTGTTACTTTTTTGCACTCATGTAAGATACAGCCACCGTCTTTCATTTCAAAGATTTTACACATTGAGTTATAATACAACAAAAACTTGGCAAGTCTTAAAATGATGTAATTATAACCACAGATAAACAAGAGCATGACTTATTATACCACATCATTATTTATTTAACACAATCTAAGCCAAATATGAGAAACAGTGCATGAAAAACTACAGTAAGTACACTGAATGTTTCAATAGCTTAGAGTACCACATTTAGCAGAACTAACTTCTGTATGACTTTATTAGTCTCTCACATCGCTATGGAGCAATTTTCGCCTACTCTTCTTTCAAACCTCGCTTCAGTTCATTGTGGTTTGTGGGCAGGTTTATTTGCATACAGCTCTCACCACAGCATTTAAGTCGGGTTGAGATCTGGTCTTTAACTAGGTCATTGCAGTAGCTTTATTCTTTTCTTTTTCAGCCATTCTGTTGTAGATTCGCTGCTTTTCTTGGCATCACTGTCCTGTTGCACGACCCAGTTTCAGCCAAGCTTCAGCTGTCAGACAGACAGCCCTACATTTGACTCTAGAGTACTTTGGTATACAGAGGGGTTCATGCTTTACTCAATAAGTGCATGTTGTCAAGGTCCTGTGGCTGCAAAACAAACCTAAGTCATCACCCCTCCACCACCGTGCTCCACCGTTGGTATGAGGTGTTTATGCAGATATGCTGTGTTTGGTTGTCTCCAAATATGTTGCTGTGCTTTAAAAACAAACATCTGTACCAGAGTTCTTGTGGTTTATTCAGATACAACTTTGCAAACCTAAGTTGTGCTGACATGTTCTTTAAAACAACACGAATTCAGTTTTTTTATTTTAACTCATGTAATTGTATTTATTCTTAACCAAAGATATACAGAAACACTGGGAATATGTTTATCTAACTAAAATGTAACAGTTTTGATTTGGGTTAAAACGCCCCAAAAATAGTAAACGGTGTACCACAAGGCTCTATGTTAGAGCCTCTTCTGTTTTCAGTTGTTCCATACTTTGTTCTTTATATACATGCATCCATGAACCTTTTATAGAAGACTTTTCTTCTAACTAAGAATTTATTTATAACTAAGAAGAAAAAGGTTCAGTATACAGCTCCAGCTTATATTAAGCTTCCAGTAAAATAACATAAAATAAGCATTACGCAGGAGAAAATTATGTTATTTGATCAATATTTGAACAAATATTTGTAAGTAAGGGAAAACCTTACTTTCTGTCCTCCATACATGCCCTCTGTTGTTATGGGAGCGATGTAGCTGACCCTCTTGTCCTCGTCTATTATCTTCACAGCGACATCTCTGTAGCTGCTGCGATGGCGTGCTTGGAAAGGCACAACCACAGTAAGGGGGAAATTAAAGGCTGCTCCATGTTCAACTTTGACCCGGATCACTCTGCTAAGCAACTCCTCTGAGCCAGTCACCATCAGGCAGCTCAGGGCATCAGCCACTTCACACCTCAGGACTTCAGCTGCACCTGCAGGCGCTCTGATAAAGCATGCGTCCGGTACATCAGAATGGCTGCCCTCCAGCTGAGCAGTGAGCCTAAATGATGTTTTTAAAAATACATAAATGCATATTTTTAGAAAACGATTCATGATTGAAATAAAGTTTGACTGTTTGTTTCTTCCTTTTATTTTTATTTATTTATATTTTTTGCATGCTTGCATTTGCTCTTAATGCTTTTAAGTAGAAATATTATTATCTTGATTTTTTTTTCAAGTGCAAACATATTAAGACTTGCTGAAATGCCGGAGCATGCACTTTCCATATCAGCTCTCTCCAGACTTAGCCTCTCCCTCGGATCTTAATGTTCCCGATTTTTTTGGCTTTTAGATGTATGTGTGCAGTGGCCTGACAGTGAACTGTGCGAAACAGCTGGCTGTGTGGAGGCCAGGAGGTCAAAAATGTGTGCGACGTGTGATAAAGCACTGCAGAGAGTTTGTCCCGTATCAGTGAGCAGGAGAAATGACTGGAAGGAAATCATGTCCAGACTCGCAATCATCCCAACGGAGGGCACAGAACAAAATGCTCAACATCTTTTTGTTTTCATTTTTGTTTTAGGCGTGTGGATTACTGATGTTACCAGTATGTTGTCAGCAAGTGGAAGAAAGTATTGACTACTTTCTTTGTTTACAACAAACGTAAAATGATGTGCTACCTCACGAACCGTGTGTAAACTGACACAGAAGAAGTTTCGATTTCATTATGCTTGAATAGCCTCATCAAAAAAAACACAAAACTGACTGCGAACATCATAGAGCTTTAAGCAAAAGACCACAAACATGCAAGATGTTGCATATTACACTGACAGGAAGTGTGGGTTAAACATAAATACTTATGTGTTAAGAGTTTAAGTACGGTGAGCTGTGATGATTTAGTCATCTTACCCTACAGTAATCCATTTTCTTTTTCTCTTTGCGCTCTCATCTTCCTTTTCAGTCTCCTCTAGTAAAGCAGTCTCAGAGTTAGCAGATTCCTCCAGAACGTCTCTTGCTTGACCTTTGACATGTGATTCTGCCCCGTTGTCACAATTAGAACCACTGAATGAGTCCAGTGTTTGTTCAGTGTCTGCCGATGTCTCTGTACGCCTTCGATCAGCTCCGTCCTCAATCACCCGTTCGTGACCTGAGTCAGACTCGAGCCGATCGGGGGAGTTTAGGTGATTCTTAACGTCTTCAGGTTGCGCCGAAGTGTCTGTGTCTCTGGATTCTCGACGCGCTTCACCCGCGATCGAGGTCTTATCTACAGATAACTGCTGAATCGCTGCATCCAGCTTGATAATGATGGAGCTTATTTTGTCGATGATCTTCTCTACGTCCTCTCCAACACTCAGGAAAATGTCACTGACGGAGCCCGAACAGGGCCTGCATCCTGTATCCTCTGAAAAAAAATTTAAACCTTTACTTGAGTTTTTAAATTAGTTACACTTTGTTACACACCCATCACTGAAAGCCTGCATGTTTTTATGTCATGTCTTTAAATAGTCGTCGGGAATAATTCTCCAGACTTCCAGAAGGACATTCAAAGCTCTTCTTTGGATGTTTCTGCCTTTTTTTCTATTCTCTGTGTAGATGATCCCGCACACTTCAATAATGTTATCCATGACTGATAATGCTCCACTGTGTGTTTTTCCATCCAGGTATATTTTTTCAGCATTGGCAGTGTGTTTGGGATCATTGTCATACTGAAAAATGAACCTGCTGCCAATCAGATGCTTTCCAGATTGTGTTACATGGTGGATAAAAATCTGATGGGACTTTTAAAATCAAATTATGTGTTGCTGCAACAATCTACTAGTAACAAAGTGCCTAAAGATTGAAAGTTTTTCTGTTATGTGTAGACACATATCTATCTTTGTACTTGAATGGTTCATAGGTTCGTTCTTTCCTCTGAAAATGGTCAGGTACAAGTACTGGACTGAAAAATAGTATAAAAAAGGACCCAGAGTCCAAATAGACACTTTGAAAGAACCTTCAGAGACCCTGGAGAGCTTGAGGGGGATATGAAGGTGGAGGTGTGCAACTTTGAGAGTGAAATTTAATAAATGAAAATAAATACATTGTTACTTCTGAGGCTCTGAGAATTCCACAATTTAATTTTCTATTTGAAGTTAATTTTGTCGTCAGAGATGACAAGTAACTTTTTTATTTTCTGGCATCTGTACTTTTACTCCCTACGTGTTTAAACAAATGTCTGTACTTTCTCCTCTTACGCTTTAAAAGCAGACTCATTACTTTTGGTTTATCTATAAGTTCGTCTATAGGGTTTATTTCAGGGGTTAAAGTGGGCGGGAAGGACTGAATGTATCCGTTAGTTGTGGTTGTGGTACTTCAGCATTTAGCTAGCGCTACAGAAAAGGAGGAAGCATGAAGAGAGTGCTATTTTAAGTGGCAGGCCATTTCAAATACATTTTTTCTATCAGCTCAACAAACTTCAGGAAACACACAAACTGTTTGTGTGCAGGTTGTCGTACACTGCGTCTGCGAGCTAAAGCTCCAGCTGCTGTATTTTGCAGGGGGATAAAAGAGTGAGAGCTAACTTCACAGAGATGGAGGAAGATAAAAAAGACAGGACAGGAGAAGAAGAAGAGAGAGTAGATTTAAAGGTAAGGACAGCTCAGTGGTGTTTGATAAACTCCAGATGTATGATGTCATAATTTGAATTGAATCTGTATATGATGTTTTGTTAAATGTTGCATTTTTTTTGTCGTGAAATATCCTAAAAAACAAACTAACTTTTTGATACTCAAAGGTTGCATGAAAATACTGAGCAGCTCAGGATAAACAGGTTAGCTTGCATCAATGTGGTGAATTCCCATTGTGTTGAACTGGTGTACAGTGGCTGTGGTGGTCATAGTCAGATTTAGGTTATATCAAGTGTTGCAGAGATGAATTTGCATTTACGCAGATGATGCTTAGATTCATTCACTGAATTCCAACTTTATACCAACTGCATATAAAGTATAGAGAGTATAGTATTAGTGATATGGGACAGCTGTGAAGCAAGCAGCAGGTCAGCTGATCACACTAAAAAAATCTACTGAAGTTCATATTAGAAAGTATTGTGAGTTGTGATTCTTTTCCCTATGCTGAGCCACTACACAGATTTAGTGCTCCTCCACCTGCTAAATCGCACTTTCACCCCTGACTGTTCTCAGTGTACTGTTTAGCAATGGAGGCAAAGTCTCCCTCTACAATGTTGGCAACAGAAAATAGTTATTTGTTTAAATTTTCTGTCACTGATTGTGTCCTAGATAACAGATTCAAGCTGAGTACATTCATTAAAACTACAGATTGGGATAATGTTTGTATTCTTGTACACTAATATTATTTTATTATTATATTAACACAGACAAGGTTTAGTTACCTCTGTACAAGAATGGTTAGAATCGTCCTCCAATGAGCTACTTTTACTTTCTTACTTTGAGTACATTTCTGAGCCTGTACTTTTTTACTTTTGCTTGAGTAATGACGTTGAATCAGTACTTCAGCATTTACTGGAGTATTTTTAAACACAGGTATCTGTACTTCTACTTAAGTAAAGAACATCTGTACTTTTGCCACCTCTGCCTGTCGTAGATGGATGCTGCTGAGCTCCACCCCCTGGTGGAGAGCTGCTGAGCGTGGAGGAACATCGTCTGAGGGCTTGTTTCCATGCTCTGAGTCTGCATGAATGAAAAACACTGACTTCCCTCAGCACTCCCAGAGCTCTCTTTTTGCAGTCTCCCTCCTGCTGCTCTTTACTCCTTCGTCTTCTTTCATCCTCCCTCTCATCTTCTCCTTCTTCCATCCTCCCACCCATTGCTGTATCGAGATGATCTCCGCAGCATTGGACACCTTCAAGCTCCTGAACAGTTTCAGCCAATGCAATGAGGAGTCTGTCCTCGCTTGTGCAGTCAGGAGGCTTTTGTCCTTCCATGAGTTTGTCTGCATGCAGATTCGTATCCACGCTGGACTGCAAAATGCAAAAAAGCTGAGAGTCAGAAGTATCTGCTCAGGCTTTTCTTCGGGCCTTTTTCTTTTTCAGTCCATCTTGCATTTGGCAAAATCTTTTCCCTGCTTTTACACAATTCAGCTGATAAGCGTCAAATACTGATTAAAAGAGGATTTCAGTTCTTGTGTACCTCCTTTTATGTTCGAAGCCGAAGCCCTGCTGGGTTGCTGTGTCCTTGGCAGTGAGCATTACTGCGTCCGGCTATCCCAGTTTACAGGCGCCATGGCTGCATTTATCTGGCTGCCAGCAGTAAAACATGTTGCCAAGGCGACCCCTGGAGGCGTGGAAGGGAGAGACAAAAGAGGAGATTCACAGGAAGGCAGAGAGCTCTGTGCATCTCACGTCTGACGGTCTCCTGTCACTCATTTCACTGCTTGCATATCCGGCCAGTTAAAAAACGTCACACGGAGCCGGGAATCATTCAAAAGCACAGCAGGAAGTTACTGGAGTTCTCCCCTGTTGGTTTGAATGCATTCACATTCATAAATCATTTGTTTTCCTAACGCCACAAGCGTTGCTACAAATGCATTAGAATGTTGGGCAGCACCTAAACTATTTACAGGAGAAAAAGGTGGAGACAAACACAACCACAGAGTCATTTTGTGGGTTTCCTGTGTGGAACTTACAATGTTACTTTGACATCAGTATTAAAACAAGTTTCTTGATCCTTATTTGGAATTAAAAGAATACTCAGCATCACTGTAAGAATGGGTTGGCATTCAATTCTAATCATGTTAACATAAAATAAACGAGTCCTATCAAAGTCCTTTGATCTTTTACTGCTATAATGTTCAATGGCATTGCACCCAGCATGCATTCAGTCCTAATCTAACAAAAGAAATCACGGGGTATATCCTGGACAGGAGCTGGGAATCACCTCTTAACCTAACATTCCAAGTCTTAGGAAGGTGGTGACAACGTGAAAGCATTTAAAATTTCCACGTCATTCTATAATAGATGTTACTAATAATAAATGACTATTATTCATCGTGTTGTTTAGAGCTGTGCCTTACCTGTTGCCGGGTCAGGCGTCCTCAGAGGCAGGCCGCAGTAATATAGCACTGTGTCGCCATCATGTGGCCGATGCCACACACTGCACGCATTTCCCTCCTAAGATCTTCATTACTTTAAATAAATAAATAAAAAGCCCAGAATTTATAAGAAAACAAAGGAAAACATGAAAATGAAAATTATCTGAAAATTGCAAAAAAAAAAAAAAAAGTAAAAGTGAAAGTAAATACATTTATTTATTTTTGAAACTTTATTTTTTCTTCTTAACTTTATCTTATAAGGGATTTTTAAACGCCATCATTAATCATGTTTTCTTGTAGTTTTTATACTTGAATGAAAATAAGCCGGAGCTTCGTTATTATTATTATTTTATCATCGATGCTGTTTTAAGTGAACGTGTTGGCAGCCAGCTTGCATTCCTGCCAGTGTTGAATGCATATCCCGGGGCTCCGGGATCAAGCCGGGACATGCAAGTATTCCCAACAAATACCTCTCAAGTCCCTCCACTTTGTATTCTTCCTCTTTATTTTTTTATGTGCCTCAGTTTCAACTTCTTAAAAAAAGAAATGAGAAAAACTCGGTGACAGTTTAGTAATAAGCAGAGAGCAGCAGCCGATCATTAACACGATCGGAGCCTGCGGTGTTCAGTTTTACGAGCGGTCTGAGCGGAGGGAAGGTCACTGCTTGTTGGCAGTGTACTCGTGAAATGGGCGTGGAGTTGCGCTCAACAGTCGGAAACAGTCGAGTGTGTAAAACCAAGAAAGAAAGAAAAACTATAGAAAAACAAAAGGAGTCAACAGAGACTCAGAGAGGCGCTAATATGAGAGAAAGCGGACGCAGCCGGTGCGCTAAGGTGAGCAGCTTTCCTCCTCTTTGTAAAGCAGAGCGGTTAGTGTACAGTGTTGCGTTTACGGTTAGAAAAAAGAAAAACCCAGAAACGTGGGAACCGAACTGAAAATAAATAAATAAATAAATAAACAAAGTCCGTTTTAGTTTTTAATGCGCTCCCACAGGAAGTGTGGGTACAGATTTATACATGTTGCACTGCGTGTAACGAGAAGGCGGACTGCCTCGCTCAGACCTGACGTGTTGCGTTATGTCGTAGTGGTGTGTAACGCACTTTGTGCGTGCGTGCGTGTGTGTGTGTCACAAAAAAGTCCTGAAAGTATCGACACGTAGTCGCACGTGCGAGCCTCCGGTACCGCTCGCGCTCAGTGAAAGCATACTCCCGGCTCTTAACCTAAACGAATATCCTCATATGTGGCTCTTATTTTTCTTAGAAACAAAAATAAGGTAAAAAATAAATCTGGTAATTCTTTCTTTTACATTCATCAGGTCCCAATCAGCCCAAATATCAAAGAGAAATTAAAAATGCATGCCGTGGAAGAGTTCGGGTCTTAGGAGGTTAATACGGACAGCTGAGTGTTACATTTTACTAGCTTTATCTTCGTCTACTAAAAAACCAAAAAACACACCGCTGAAACAGTGAAGGTGACAGTAGAGGCTGGTTAAAACATGGTAAAGGTTTGCGGGTATTTTCTGTGTGAAAACAGGAAGGGTTTGAGATTTTGGACGATGATTTGGACTTTGTTCAAAGTGGGCTGGCTGAGAGGATGTGCACATATTATGAGGTAGGTTGTGTGTGCATGCATGGGCGTGCGTCCTCTCTGACTCACTGCCTGCACTGTATAACCATACCTGTGGTGTGGGTGAAGTTGCTGGCTTGTGGGTGACACACACACCCACACAGACATACAACCATCTTGTGTTGGCAGCCATTTATTTTGTAGACACCCCCGCAAAAAAGTATAACTCTATTATGTCTACACAGCTTCGTGTGCCTTTGTGGCATGTGTGAGCTGTTTGTCTGTCTGCTGAACTTCTCCTTTTTTTTTGCCCTTTGCTATTGATCTGCACACCCTGATCTAACGTTCCACACTCCGGGCAGCAGCTGTGGATCAAAACTCCCATATCCTGCCTGTAATAATGTTTGCTTGCTTAACTGCGTGTGTGTGTGCCTTTTTATAGGTTGAAGTTTGTGTGTGGATGTGGAGCAGGTCAGGTTAAATGTGCTGGCAAGCTTCACAGAGTGCGAGCCACTACAGATCCCTGGGTGGTGCTGAGGCTTCCCAGTCCTCAGAAGGGCTACTCCACAGACTCTATCAATCCCCGTTATGAGGACAATACAGTCAAATATGATGTGGGACTGTGGAACAGTGGACTGCGTCACTGCCTGCATCTTCTCTGCTGATATCACACCAGAGGCTCATATCCCTCTCGTGATAAAAGCGATAAGAGAATCAGTTTCCGTTTGTGTTAATTTCATCAGCGTCTTGTTTTATAAATGACAAACACATGCAGTAACCCCCCCCCCCTCCACAAAAAGCCTATTTACTTAAAAGCAGAAGTAACACTTCAGGTTGCCTGTGTGCTGCCGAGTTGCAACTCAAGAAGAGAAGTAGTCATGACAAGAGGTTGTTGATGTATCTTCCTGTGTGTGTTTGTGTGCAAGATAGAGAACTAGCAGTGAGAGACCAGTTGTGCCACTTAGTTCATCAGCCCTTCACTCTTAAGACTTGCTGGTGTCAGGATGCAGACGCTTAAAAGTAGCCCGCCATTAGAAGGGTTATGATATGTTGGCTTTGAGCTGTGGTGCCTGGATTCTTAAACACAGTTGAGGTAAGTGCTCTGTAAAGGTTGTGCCATAGGGCCAGGCTGTGACGGTGTACAGTGTTTCCTCATAGCTCTTGCTGTTTCCTGCTGCTTCATCCAGGAGTATTGCAGATGTGTTTCGTGTTATTTTGGCTGCATATAAGTATTCTCACCGTGACTTTAAAGAAGATATATTTAGTCACCTTTATCGCTTGTTAAGGCGGTCAGTGCCACCCTCAGAAGATCAAAAACTCCCACGGTCATCTTTTAGTTAAGTTTTTTGTGTATCCAGGTCAGATACAGGGTGAGGTTCACAGAGGGCCCGTTGCTTTGTTTAGTTGTGCAATGATTTTTTTTATATGCTTCTGTTCAGCTATTTTTGTACCTCTCTTGTTGCCGTCATTTGCTTTTATTTTGAGTTTGCATTGGCCCCAAAAACCCCACCATACGTAAAGGAGGATCTGACTACAACAATAATGTGAGCAATATGTAGAGAAATATCATCATATCCAGAGAAATTTATTGTAACTCACTTCAGGGACCACATTAATGGGGAAGTGAAAATCTGATATCGTGAAATTCAGTTGTAATTGATTTGGAGGGTAAGATTGATGGCCGGCCACTCTATCATTGGCTGTTTTTTGTTGTGAGGCGATTGTTTTGGTTATTTTATTGTTTTATTTCGCAGTTTTAGCCGTCTCCGTCTTTGAAAATTCACCTTGGTAAATAACTATAAAGCACAACTGAAAGCGCGAAGTTAAAGGAACTGATAGTTAGATTGGTGCATATTACATGTGATCTTGCACTATTTTCTGTAAATGGCGATTGAAAATCATTTCTCTGTGCAGAGCAGAGGCGCGTGTCTTCGCAAATATTTAATTTCCGGTTGCAAAATTGCCTGACCTTATTGATCTTTTAATCTAATTCTCAATAAGAAGTGAGTGCTAGTATCTTTCAAAATATTGATCTCTTTCTTAAACTGGGTCACGTTTCCATAGCCAGAATTGTTTAACACCATCAAACTGAACACTTAAAAAATTCTCTGTAAGTTAAATCCGTTATAGGTTTGGGAAATTGCAGCTTGTCGCAAAGAACCTAACTCTATATGTTAAATACTGTATGAGTTTGGAACTTGTCTTGTCTGTGGATTGCTTTACCTGTCATTTATTTTTCTCTCTTTTTGTTTTTACCTACAGAGTAAAGCTGGCCTTCTCCACCTTTTAAAAGTCTCCCCAATGTGGCAAACGTGGGTTTAGAGGATGATGTTTGCAGCTCCAGAGCCCAGCAAAGAGATCGTGGAGTGGCTCTCCAGCCTCCGCTTGTCTCACTATGCCCCGTTTTTCCATCAGGGAGGTTATAAATCTCTGGAAGACTGCATGGACCTGACAGAAGAGAGTCTTCTTGAGCTCAAAGTGCTGCCGACAGGCCACCGTAGACGCATCCTCCGGAGTCTGGAGGCACTGGGGTTCAAGCAGCTGAGTGGAGGGGAAGATGAAAGTGAAGAGGATGGAGCAAAGAACTTGAGGGAGCCAATGCCATACCCAAGACATATCTTCCTGAAAGATAGAAAGAGGGGGGCATCATGTCAGCAACCAAAGGAACAGAGCAATCACGATTTGGAAGCAAGTCAGAGTTTACCTCCAGGAGCAGGACTGGGAGAAAAAGCTGAAAACCTTCCAAGGAGCAGTTACCTCGTCCCGCCTCGACCAGCCCCACGTAACCCCAAGAACATTCAGAAATCTGCACAGACCTGCCTGCCTGCTTCCGCATGTTCCAACAGCAGCAGCGAGTCCCTCTCTGCTTCTGAAATACCAGATCGAGAGATTACTACAGAAGATCCGTTGCATGGCACGAACTCCATCGCCTGTTCCGGTGACGATGGGGGTTTTCAAGGTGAAATGGTTGAAAACTCAATTTATGAGAGGCCGCCCAATTTAAATCCACCTGTTGGTCAGAGGCTTAGTCGCTCCTACAAACTCAGGCACCGGCCTGTTCCTGAAATCCCAAATCCAACCACGGTGCCACTTCAGGACAGGTACTGCTGTTAAGTTCATTTGGTGTTTGTTTGACATTTTGGGAAATAGGCTCACATGAGTTGGATACAATACGAACATGTTGTTGTTAATTATAGAATTAATAAGCAAAAAAAGGCTCTAAAAAAGAAGGAAAAAATCAAAACACATATAAGAAAACCATATAAATGGATTATAAGTAGTCGATTAGCTTTGTTGTTTACTCTGCATTTGTGGTAAGATAAGCAGTTGGTAGCAGTAGTTTGAATATTTATGTTACAGATATGTAATTAAAGCCTCACCAATTCACTGCTGGGGAAGTGTTAGCTATTTGCTTATTTGTTGGTGTCACCATTTATAACAGCGAATACATAAAGAATAAAGTAAATAAGATGATTAATGCAGCTGAAAGAACATAAATAATAATATAATGTGATCCTAACTGAGACGGAGCCCAGCCAACGTGTACCTGTTTCAATCATTTAA